GATTACTCGATTAAACGTAAGAATAATCGATAGATTACTCGATTACTAAAATATTCGTTTACAACAGCCCTAGACTCAAAACATACAGCTGGAACAGGACTGATCAAGAAAAGCTTTCTTTCCTGGCAGTGATCTCTAATGAGACCGAGAGACCTTTAAAACAAAATAAAGAGGACTTTTACCAGAAATCGACGATATTGTTGCGCAGAAGGAGCAGAGTATGGACTCCATTTATAATGAATGTTTTTTAATGAATGTACGTTTGTGGGCTACAATTTGTAAGTGTAAAGAATGCGGAAAAGAAACTCACCTGATTCACCTGATTTTACTGTGTATATATAGATTTTTATATTGGTTCTGCTCTGTCCTTTATACTGCTGTAACAATGTAAATTTCCCCACTGTGGGATTAATAAAGGAATATCTTATCTTATCTTATAACTCACAAGCTGCTATGTCAGATTACCTAAAAACAGCGGTAGCTAATCACTTAATTGCAAAATAAACATTAAGCCTGCAATAGACTGAATGTTCTGTTCTTTGTGTGGGAAAGTTTTGGTGTTGAATCCTGAAACAAAGTGGCATTGTTGTCAGTTGCTATGGCAGTGAGTCTCTGTGTAGCTAGGCCGACACAGAGGGCAAGAAAGAAGTGGGGTTTTTTGGGGGTTTTGGCTCTAGTGGCCTTTATTTGATAGTTAATTGACAGGAAAGTGGGTAATGAGAGACGGGGGAAGACATGCAGCAAAGGTCGCCAAGGCCGGGAATTGAACCTGCGACAGCTGTGTTGAGGACTAAGGCCTCCATATGTGGGTTGTTAACCCCTGTGCCACCACAGCACACCCCAGAAAGAAGTGGTTTTGAGTTGTACTTCAACCGGTTTTTCTGATTTATTTTCATTTGCTGTGAAGGATAGCGCTAAATCAGTAATACCTACATTTCCAAGTTTCATTGAGTTAACGGAATTGTTCAGTTCTTTGTGCTTTCACCTGCACCAAGTTGTGGAGCTGGTCTGATGGGAGCTAGCAATAGGTTGAAAAGTAGTGACTGAATGTTTTATACAGTGGCATTTAGATAGTAAATGTGGAATATATTGTCATTAGGCATGGTACTGCTAGGATAGGGGTCGGTAACCCAAAATGTTGAAAGAGCCATATTGGACCAAAAAAAGAACAAAAAACAAATCTGTCTGGAGCTGCAAAAAATTAAAAGCCTTATATGAAGCTTATAATGAAGGCAAAACAGGCTTTAAGTGTTTATATTAGCTATGTTAGCCTATTATCAAAACGACTAAGTGCGTACATTCATGAGCATTCATGATTAAATGCTTATTTTCCCTACTGTGCTTCCTGGAAGGAATGACGCACCATGTGACTGCTCTATTGTTCGATGGTGCTTTAAGTTTACCTCCCGTTACAATATGAATGTATTATGTTTATAATTTCCACGGCTCACCTGACGATCACTCACGGCACATAGTGCGTCACGGCACAGTGGTTGAAAAACACTGGTATAATGGATCGATACTCGCAGATGACAAATCGATATCTTCCGAGGGGAAAAATATCGATACATACTGTAGAATCGATTTCATTATACAGCCCTAATAATATCGCTAAGTGTCATTCTAAATATATACTGATAAAAATTACTAATCAATTTCTAAAAACAACAACTTTGTTCCTAAATATATGTGCCTATGGCAGGATTGTGTTCTTGCGCGTTTAATGTGACTTCTGTTTACGGACATCACTGGACAGCTTCTCAACATCGGGCATGTAAGATGCAACTTTAATATTGATGCGGCAGCTAATGTAGCGCCTTCCCTAGAAATGTCTTTCAACATTACCATATTTTTTGGACTAAAAGCTGCTACCTTTTCCCCACGCTTTGAACCATGCAGCTTATAGCCCAGTGCGGCTTATATATGTACATTTCCAGTTTTCCAATTCTTTGTTGACGGAAATGTTGAAATTTTTGATTTATTCTACACATTTTTATAGCATTTGGAAAACGTTAAGAATGACTGTGTCATGTTTGTCCTCATACAGAAAACATATAAAAACAAAAAATATATTTCCCATACCATCTTTTCCCATTTTCAAACATTTTTGAAAAAGCTCCAGGGAGCCACATAATTTCTTCTAATAAATGTAATGTTCTAATAAGAATATGATTTAGAACCTAAGCTATCCCACTTAAATATGTGGGATAGCTATATTATAAAACAATAAAATCAGTTGCAAGTGTTCAGTGTTGTTTAGAAATTTGTAGGTTGTGCTTATATGTGAGAATAACATTTTTTAAATTATTTTGGAGTAGTTTTGTTACACAAATAGTCTAGTTGTAATTGAAAGCACCAATATGGAAATATTGTAATTGCACAATTCAGTTTATGTAGAAGCTGAAATAAAACTGATCATCATACTTGATGACATCAATTTTGACGAAACCTTTACCACTTTTCTACTGCTCTGTGATTTTAGGATGAATTCTCGAAATGGAAAAAGTATCACTCAGAGAAAGAAATCCCAAAAGTGTTCATCTTCTGAGGATGAAAACAACTACGCAAAGATAGCATGTGGAGGGCCACGACGACAGGCCACTGTCAACATAAGTTATAAGGAAGCTGAAGACATAAATACAGATTCTGATGATTTGGTGGAGGTTTTGGGTGAAGATGTTCCGATGCCTGAGGAGGAAGAGTTTGAAACAATTGAAAGAGTAATGGACTGTAGGCTAGGACGAAAAAGAGGTAAGAACACGTCTTTACCTAATCAATAAAGTATATTCTGACTCTGTTAGGTTTAATGAATGAATATAAATACTGAAGATTATTTGGGGAAATGGAGGCGTTTGATCCAGACTGCAGGTTTGCTTTGAGGAGTCCTGTGCAGTTTTACACTTCTCATCTTTGAAATTAAATAAAAATCCAAGTGAGGATGATTAAGCTTAGATATTTTCCCTAATGTGATGTTTATTTTTTATTTTTTTCAGCAACAGGAAGTTCAACCACTGTATATGCTGTAGAAGCAGATGGGGACCCCAATTTTGACTTTGATTCAAATAAAGAGACTGGCGAGGTTCAATATTTCATTAAGTGGAAAAACTGGGCACACATCCATAACACTTGGGAAACTGAAGAAACACTAAAATTGCAGAATGTCAGGGGCATGAAGAAACTGGAAAACTTCAAAAAAAAGGAACAAGAGAAAAAAAAATGGTAAGTGGTCTTTATCTGGGCTCTTTACAGCACTACATCTGACACTTTGCACTTGATAATGTATGGCTTAGATTGAGAATATCAATCTAAGCCATACATTATGGCTTAGATTGTATACACAGGTGTGTGTATACACCCCTGTGTATACACACACACACACACACAGGTGGAAATTAAATTTTTTCTCCACCAACCACAGTTTACTTTTAATTTCTATTACTTTTTTATGCAAAAACTGAGAAGTAGCTTAGGCTGATTTTTTTCAGAGTATACTGAGTTTTTGAATTACTGTTTTTGGTGGTTTTATAAGCTGAAAGCGGAAATTATGTAACGATGAACTTTAAATCGTTTAAACTGGTGGCCTTGAATCTATAACCTATGAAAGTTTAACTTTTTGAGTAGAATAAAAAAACTTTTCCATGATATTCTAATCTTTTGGAAAGGGTGCACACACGCACGCACGCACGCACGCACACACACACACACACACACGGGTGGAAATATAAATTTTTCTCCACCAACCACAGTGGCTAGTAGAGAACATTTTTTACTGGCCACTCAGACATTTCACCAGCCTCGATAACAAAACCCCACCAGAACAAGCAAATGACATAAAAGTTATGATTTATTCTTAACTCTATGAAAACCGATTTACTGACAATAAGTTTACCATTTGTATGAACAGAGACTAATTTAACATAAAACATGGATACCTTAACAGAGGTGTTATGATCTGTGTTTTCTGTGTAGTTATTTTTGAGGTTTTTCTGTGTTTTAGTCCATTTTCCCCTGTGAGTCTGTCGTCCCTGTTGATTGCTCCCAGCTGTATCCAGTTCCCTGATTACGTTCCCTGTGTATTTAACCCCACCTCTTGTCTTTGTCTCTTGTCGGGTCCTTGTCTAACATCCGTCTAATGTGGTACCAGTCTGTCTAAGCCGTCTTGCATCTCGTCAGTCAAATAAGTCGTTTTTGTAGTTTAGTTTAAGTCGTCACAGTCGAACTGGAAAGTCCTGTGGCGGCAATGGCTCTTACTTTGTCAGTCTTTGTTTAGTTGCTGCCGGTGCCGAGTTTTTTGTTTCCACTCTGCCGTGCTGCATGTTCTCGGACTGCTTTGAGCTGAGTTTGATTATTAAAGACGTCAACCTCACTATATCCTGGGTCCTGCGTTCAACCTCACCATCCCTCATTCACCGTACATGACAAGAGGAGTAGTGCAATAAGTTCACTTGAAGTAATTACTAACAGCAAACTTTAACTACGCATCCCTAACATTCTTGCAATCATTTCCACATTTTGGCTACAACCTCCCCAGATAGTATTTATTGAAGATGTGTCTAGTTATTTTGTAAGCGTTTTTAAATGGTATCAATAGCTGTTTTTTAACTGTTCTATTTGTTTTCCCTTACTTATTATGTTTTCTACTGAAATTCACAATTATTCTTATTATTAAAATATCTCAAGGTGTCCACTATTAATTCAGCGTGTTCATCATTCCTATGTTATTCCAGTGTTTTTCTGACTGCCTGCTAGCTTACATGAAGGTTTTCTGCATTCAAAGTCGAATGCAGCCTGCATTCGACGTTTCCTTTTTTACTTAACTTGATTTAATATATGCAGTGTTGTGAGATTTATTTGACTCGTGTAATTTATGGTACTGAGAACCTTAATGTTAGATATTGTTTTACTGAATGCAGGTTTTTCAGTTGTCCTTTTGACTGAAAGCTGCTATATTGTGCCTGCAAATATTTTGCATATTTTATGTCTAAATTAGGTAAATTTATTGCCAGATCATTTTTCCATTTTGCCAGATCACATAGTAACATTTATACTTGTATATATTTATATTTGCATGTATATGGATATGTATGTGTATATTTTGCTGCTGTTTATTACTCCTAATAGTTTTAAATACCTGACTCCAAACTAAGCACCTGGTTTTCTGTTTTTAAATTTAGTCAATACAAGTCATAATCACAAGTATCTGATAAAAATTCCATTTCCATTTATTATTAAAATATTATTCTTTTCACCTGAGTGTCTAAGACATGTGGCTGCAGATCCGATGAGACAACAAGTCAATCATTGAACTGCGGCCTCAGGTGTCCTGGTACCCAGAGCACATATGGACACCCTTATGCTTGAACATGGTGTTCGTTATGGACAGTCCATGACGACCACAGAAGTCCCAGCAACAGAACACCACTCGGGTTCAGACCACAGGACCATTCCTGCCAACCACACCCCTCTAGGTCTCATTGTCATTGTCCCTTATTTCCTCAGCGATGGAAAAATGTTTCCAACATAGCTCCTAGAATCACTGGGACACTCAAACACCTTCACCACGAGAAGGTGGCAGCCCATGGAGATATCACTTTCTCTTTTAATGTTATTATTTCTATTGCATTACTTCGCTTTCTTATCGGTTCTTTATGTTCTTCCCGTTTTGAATTGCCTTTTTTCCTGTGGTGTCCTTGGATGTCTAGAAAGATGCTAGAATAACTTAATTGTTTGTACAACATCATGACAGGTTTAAGAATCAATTTTTTACATCAGACTTTTAAAATGTTTATTGTGATATGAATACTCAAATTCATTAATTCATTTTAACTATCTGTTTCTTTAGGTTAAAGGCAGCATCACCAGAAGATAGAGAATATTTTAATTGTCAAGAGGAACTGATGGATGACCTGCATTCTCAGTATCGGCTTGTTGAACGTATCATAGGTATTGTTCTATGATTACTCTGAATGTGTTTGCTAACCCTGAGTTTGTGTGATCCAATAAATGATTGAAATATATTTTGCAGGACATTCAAATCAGAAGTCAGCTGCTGGTTACCCAGACTACCTCTGCAAGTGGCAAGGTTTACCATACTCAGAGTGTAGCTGGGAAGATGGTGCTCTGATTGCCAAAAAGTTCCAGAAATGCATTGATGACTACATGGGCAGAAATCAGTCAAAGACCATTCCCTCTAGAGATTTGAAGGTAAATTTAGACCTTATTTTTTCCAACAATGTTGGCAAAAGTTTCAGAATAAAATGTATGTTCTGTAAAACATGTTTTCCTGTGACACATCATCAATAAAAACAGATTTACTGTACATATCATTTAAACCTGGTTTACTTAGTTATGTCAATTCTATTGAAATGTATTTAGTATTGGTTTTTAGAACATGTTTTTAGATATCAGTATTCCACTTAAAGAAATTCAAATGAGGATTTTGTTTTATTAGTTGATGAAACAGAGACCCAGGTTTGTACCAATGAAGAAGCAGCCAGCTTACATTGGAGGTGATGGACTGGAGCTCAGGGACTACCAGCTGGATGGTTTAAACTGGATGGCCCACTCCTGGAGCAAGTATGACTCAACAGTCTTTGTCATTTAGTGATTTATCCTACATCTTAAATGGGAAATCTTCTCATTCTATGGAATTTCTTCATCTATTAGTAATAAGGATTGCTATGACTGGCACACATTGCTCAACTCTAGCTTGAAGTGAAAAACATTTCGCCAGCTAGAATCTGAATATCTAAATGTATTAGCAGCAGGAGAAAGTAAGGCTTTGTTTTAAATTATTTAGATTTGAAGCTAAACCATACTGGTAGGAACATAGTAGTGACAACATCTACCTTCACAAAGCTTTTCCAGCATCATCATCATCATCTCACAGCCTCTCTTCTGCTTTACTCTCTTTGACCACACTGTAACAGTCCTGGTAACAAATCAGTGCATTTGAAATGACCCTGATATTTGAGCTTTTCCTAAGCAAAAACCTTAGACCAAAACTATACAACATGGAATGTGCTGCAGGTCAAAAAAGATTAATGTTCAATCATAATAGTAAAATATAAAAAGTTGAGCACAAAATTATTCATATCCATAGCAGATTTAGTGTTAAGGAAATGCATTAATTTTCCAACATACTTCTTCTGAATGGAAGCAATACTTCTATTTTCCTCAAAAAAAAAAAATCCAACTTGTATCTGAGACAATTTGTGGAGGGAGTTAAAGAATATGACTATGGAACAAACACACTCCAATCTCATTGACTTGGAGCTCATCACCACAGATGAATCATCAAAACATGTCAGCATTTATAAGATGAATTCGTTTGCTGAAATGCAGTTACAGTATCTTCCACTGATTATTTTAACCATATAACTTTTTTTAAAAGTATACACAATATGTAAATAAAAACTTCCATCCCTCCCTCTCTCCCTCTTCTGCTTATCCGGGGTCGGGAGCAGACCCCGGATAAGCAGCTTAAGTAGGGAGGCCCAGACTTCCCTCTCCCCAGCTTTATCTATAGAGCGATATCTGAAACAAACTTGGCAAAATACAAATTACCCTGCCACCCTTCGAATACACAGCCATACATCAAAGCAAGTCCTTTTTAAACTTGCCTATGGGAGTGTGGGTGGCATGTGAGTGTACAGCAGCAGTGGAAAACTCTTTGCTGATGTTCCAGTAACACTCAGAAATGGAGAACCTCAAGGTTGGGATTTTTATGGNATTAAGTTTTTTTCTTTTTTTTTTTTGCGACATTGAGAGTTTTTTTTTTTTTTTTTTTTTTTTTTTGACGTTTTGCATTATTTAGCCTCTTCAGAGCCTTCATGTTTTCAGTCTGTTAAAGATAGTATTACCGATAGTACAATTTGCACAATGCCTGTTTTTTTTTTTTCTTGGAAAAAGTTACTAAAAACAAGTTTTTATCTAAATTAAGGTGAATTCATGGTTCCTTTTTCCACATAATGTAACCGGTAGTGCTTATGATAAAAAAAAAAAAAAATTGTGTGATCTGTATCGGTGGTCGGCCGTGATCGGCCCTCATGAAAAAAACCTTATCGGCACATCTCTAATTATTAATGTGTGTAATACATTAATAATATTACACACAGTAATAATACATTGGCTCTCGGCAGATTCCACAGGTCCCGCTGTAGTCAGGTCTCAGACTGGCTTATTTGATTGCTTAAAGAGGCAGTATTATGTATGCTTTTTTGAGCTTTACATCATGTTATGATGTCATTCCATGATCAAAAACATACCTGAAGTGTTGCTTTGATTCTTTCAGACCTGTTTGAGAAATCCTTTAATCTCCAAGGCAACCATTCTGCTATGTATAATATGTGGGTGGACCTAGCCCCGCCGTCGAGGCGCGAGTCCTCCTCAGACCTGCAGTTTCTAGGCTTCTGCCTCACAGAGCACAATTTCCCCACTCAGTTCCTTCAAACTAGCCAGCAGCAATTAGCAAACACCTGGTGGAATTGAGCTCACTATAGGAGCTACTTCTCAGTGAAACACTGGTAAAAATGTTGTTGCAGGATTAATAGAGGACCCAGGCTGTGATGACTTCCTGAAGATGCCTCAGAAAGAGCAGGAGTGTTTAAAGACAGAGACCCAATTTCAATAAGTCAATTTTTTAAGTCATATTTAACATATACAGCATTTTTTTAACAACTGAAGTTAACACGTAGTTACTTAATTATGCTTTTAAATGTCACTATGTGGCTGGAAAATATACATTACAGCCCCTTTAAAAACTAGCATTTTATTTCCTCAGTTTATGATTGCCTGATGTAAAAATTAATAGGATGATTTGAAATATTTAAATGTGACAGAAAATGAAAAACAGGAGGAATTCTTAATGGGGCGACTATTTTACAGCACTCTGTTAAAAAACTAAACTTTTGACAAAGCACCTCAGTATTCCCCCCTAAATTTTGAACTTTGATCTCAACACTTAAGTAGGGCTGTATAAATAAATCGATTTGGCGATATATATCTATATTTTCCGCCCTCTGAAAGTATCGATTTTTCATCCACGAGTATCGATCCGTTAAACCATAGGGGGTCCATAGCCTGACAGCTCTTTTTAACATCTAGTTTGTTACGGCGTAGCAGCAAGACTCCGCCTCCCTCAGTCTCACTTTCAACTTGAGCTTAAAGTGCACATTAGAAACTACACACCAGTTTTTAAATTGTGTTAATAGGCCAAGTATAACCGGAGTTATGCTAAAATTAGTAAACCATATTTTTCCGAATATCAGAGAAATGTCAAAAGCGCCGATCACTGCGGGGTGAGGCGGAGCCACTACTTTAGCAGTTAGACGACAGCAGCTTACAGCCACGGCTAACTCCGGGAGCCAAGGTAGAAAAGCCTTTTTCCCCATAGTCCAAAAGACTGCATTTGTGGCTGCATTTTGGAGTAAAAATGCAGCCACAGTGTCCAAAAGAAAAAACATAAGTGCAATCATTTGCATAATTAGAGTCTACAGAGGCTGATAATCTCCCCACTCTGCTCCTGGATTATCGTTTAAACTTTTGAGTTTTATGTCAAAACCATATGAATTAAATGACAGAAACTAATTCTCTCACTGCATCTTTGATTAATTTTGTTCAGCTGCAGACTGTTAGACTGTCCAATCAGAGTCAGGTATTGTGTAGTTGGTGCTTTTAATCAGTTTTCAGTCTAAATTCAAGTCTATGGAACACAAAATGTCACTAAAATCACTCTGTCCTTCTAAAATCTTTCAGAAAATCGTAAAAATGTACTCAATCGTAGCGAATTGTATCGCTCAACAAATATTGTGATACATACCGTATTGTGACCAGAATATCATATATCGTATTGTATAGTGAAATTATTGTATCACTACACCCCTAGTAATGACACTTAATGACAT